GAGCTAAATGCAGAAATGTAAGAGCTGAGGGAGGTTTCGGTGATGGGACACAATAATCAACTACATTGTATATTGACAAAATAAAAATAATAAAAAAAAAAGAAATGTAAGAGCTCAGGGAAGATATGTTGAGACAAAAAGAAAGAGAGAGAGAGAGAATATAAGCTGGCAAAGCTCATAAAAGAAGTTAAACAAAAGCAGCAGAAGAAGGCAACAAAGGAGGAGCCTGGACACTGCTAAATACCCATTCACAGATAATGTAAGTAAGACTGTTTTTATGTCATTTTGCTCAGGGAGTTAAAAAGGACTGGAGGAGGGAGGAAATATGGCTCTCTTGTCTTTCCTGTCTACTGTACACACCCTAGAGGAAGAAAAACCCAAAACAACTGAACTGAAATAAAATATATATTTCAAGATATAAGTCACAGAATCTTCTGAGATATTAAAAATAAAGGAGAAATTGAATCTATTGAATGAAAGAGACTCATATTTCAGGGGGAAAGAATTAACACAGTCTTACCAGACACAAAGCATACGCTAATAAGTAACTGATATTCAAGTATAAAGAAAAAAAGACTTTAGTTATCAAAGGTTTAAAAAAAAATAAAAGAAGTCACCTAAAAAAGGAACTTCTCAAACTGGCCTGACACAGTGAGATTCAGGAAGTTAATGGAGCAAAGTACTCATGAAAAGAGATCGACACATATTTTATACTCTGAGAAATAATATCAAAGCATAAAGGGAATAGACAAACATATTTTCAACATTCAAAAATTAGCCTTTCTTGAAGACATTACTAAAGGACAAACTTCAGAAAGTCAAGAGATAAATGGGAAAGCTAAGCAAAAGGACTGGTGGGGACAGTCAAATACATCTACCTACAAAACAAAGATCAAAATAAAGGCAGGAGTGGTGGTGCAAACCATGATCCACATGCTCTAAATGACATAGCTAAACAAAACTGGGATTGGAAAGAGGGGATGGGGTAGGAGGTCATACATGCACACTTTTTTTTTTCACCTTTCTTTAGCAGTACTTGGTAAAATATTTAAGTCTAATGGAATTATATTTTAAAATAGTAAGGCAAATGCTAGAAAATAATAAAATCAATAAAAATTAGGATTTGTAATAATTTAAGAGAGGAGGAAATAGAAATGCATGGAAATATACTAATTTTATAATTGCTTGCAAGACTTAAACAATGAATATTGCCCTAAAATAGAAGATTCATTCAATATATAAACTCATATTCATAAAGCTAAGCAGTTAGAAAAAAAATACAAGTACTAAATATTATCAAACGCAAAAGAAAGTAAACAGATCATGTAATGAGAGATTAAAAAAAGAAGTAATCATAACTAAACACTAAGCGTATGCTGTCAGAACTAAGACTTATCTGTATAAACTCATATTCATAAAGCTAAGCAGTTAGAAAAAAAATACAAGTACTAAATATTATCAAATGCAAAAGAAAGTAAACAGATCATGTAATGAGAGATTAAAAAAAGAAGTAATCATAACTAAACACTGAGCGTATGCTGTCAGAACTAAGACTTATCTGTAATATCAGTGCAAATGGCCGAACTCACCTGTGAGAAGGAAAGGACTAGTTAGATACTGATGGCCAATGGATTTACATCTGTACCTGCACTACATGTGCTTGTTTACCTGCAACCCACTGGTATTCTTTTATTTCACTTCAGTCTTAGCTAATAATAGCATTTAATCTGTGTTTATATGATGATTAATGAAATTCAATGTTTTCTCACATTTTTTGATCTTTTGCATTATTTCAGGCATTATTAATCCACTGCTTCCCATCTCACTGATTGTAAAAAGTAAAATCCTTAAGACAGCCTTCAAGGCCCTGTGGGATCTAGCCCCCTACGAATTTCCTGACCTTATCTCTGAACTCTTTGTCTATGTCTCATTTGCTGGTCCCTTCTCATCTCCCCGAATTCTAAATATTGTAGTGCCCTGGGGCCCAGTCTTGGGACTTTTTTCTCTTTTCTGTCTATATACTTACTCCCTTAGTGACTTTGATTTTGTGCCTTAAAAATACCATCAATATGCTGACAACCTTCCAATTTATATACCCAACCTCCCCACCACCCTAGCTCCTGAACTTGGGCTCAAATCTCTACCTGTCCACCCCGCATCTCCATAGGGGGCTCAAGGGGGCGAGGGCCTGCCACACCTGGCTCTACGTTCCCTGCTGACTGAACTGTCTTCTGTCACCCTCTTCCTGGTCCACTACTCAATGAGGCCTTCTCAGGTCATCCAGAATAAAATAACAATACCTTTATACCCCCATTATTCACAGTCACTGGTTTATTTTTATCCATAGCACTTTTTATCATCTGATATATCAGATATAGATAAATAGATGATAGTAGAGGACAGATAGAAAGATAGAGAGCAAATATTTACCTAACACTGTTTTCAGACATTACTTTAGTATTTCACAGATATCATTAACAAATGTGATTCTTCCAGCAACCCAAGAAGTAGGTACTGCAACTATCATCTTTTTACAGTTGAGTCAAATGAGGTACAAGTGGAGATCACACAGTTTAGTGTGGCGGACCATGGCCTGAAAAAGTGGTGGCCGTCAGGCACTAAATTTCAGGTTCTTAACGACTACACCTCACAGCTTTTCATGTCTATGTATATGTGAATGTATATATCATACATATATATATATATTGTTTTTCCTGTCTTCTACTAGAATTAAGCACCACTACAGCAGGAACTTTGTTGTGTTCACTAACACAACACCTAGAACAGGGGGGCTCGCATACACTGAGCAATGAATAATACTTTACCGAATAATGGAAATTCATATCTCTTTCAAACAAAATAAAAACTGGTATTGATTTAAAAGTGGCTTCTGTTAGCTTTAAAGAATATACAAAAAATTTTTTAGAATAATTTTTTTTAAATTTGGATATTTGCCTGCAGAGTTACAGAAAGCTTTATGCAACACAAGGAAAAAAAAGAGAAAATAAATCTGAACATTTTTACCTGTAAGTCATGTTTCCCAGAAACAATTCTGCCATGTTCATCATTATACATAGCATTAACATTAAGGAAAGGGCAATCAGATTGGTAAACTCATAAATCATCCCTGAGCTTCTATTTTAAAAAAACTAAGTAGAAAGAGATGATAGTCTTAAATGGGAACCATAACAATGGGAATGGAATGAAAGGAAACCTTTGAGCAATAACTAAGAGTGATATTAGCAGAGGCTGTGGATTCATTTAATGGGGTGATACAGAGTGACTTTCAGGTTTCTACCTGGAGTGACCTGATGGAGGGTAGTGCCGCCAATTATGTCAGGGTCAAGGGGGCACGTTGGTTTTGTTTTACCCATGGAACATCCACGTTGGGATGTTAAGATGGCTATTAGATATACAGGTACACAGAACATGGTAGACTTGAGTGTCATCAGAACACAGAGGTGAGACTGCTCAGACAGTGAGCTCTGGGTGCAAACAGAAGCAGGCCAAGTGTAGACACCTAGGGCACACCAGGAGCAGTGACTAGGACTGTACACTGTACATTGCATGTGCTCAATAAATGTTTGTGAGTAAGAGAATGAGAGTGACATTGGCCTGTCAAAGACTTAGGAAGACAATCCTGAGATTCTGACTTTGAAACAAGCTAAGAAATAGGGATTTTTCATGCCACAGAAACTCTCTTTCACTCCCTCTTTCAAGATGATTTTTGAGTGTCTGGCTACTTTGCCTGTATTTTACTAGACATCAAAAACCCATGCAACTACATTGTAGAAAGAAGTAATTGCCAAACCCACAATCTATCAATACAACAAGTATTCGCTGAGTACCCCTGATGTGCACAGACATCTTGTTAGGGCCATGGGGGAGGGGTAAAATGTGTGATATTGTCCCTACCCTCAGAGTGCGTAAAATGCAATTTGGAAAGGAGGTAAATCATTTCAGGTTAAAAAATAATGACTCCTAATAGCAAGTATGGTAGACGAATGGTATAGACCTGCAAAGGTTGGGAGCAGGGCAGGCTGCCTGAGCTTAAGTTCACAGAAAGCTTCACAGAGGAGATGGGATTGACCTGTTATGAAAGATCAGGGGTCAGGGGGAGAAGGTCACTCAGGTGCTTAGCGCTGAGCACACTCAGGGAGGTTTCAAAGTTCAAGTTTCCTGTGGGAAAGTTTGCAAAACAACTGAGAGTGGAAGGGTAGAAAGGCAGAGTTGCATCAAATGCCAAGTTTAGTTTCACCCACACGCACATGCGTGCACACACACACATGCACACACACACACACACACGTCAGTCACTTGGTGGAACATCACCTTTTGTTTCCACTCATTTTTGCTCTATTTTGTACCTCTTTCCAGCACATGAGAGAGTCACAAAACTCAAAATCTAAAAGAAGACTTTCCTTGCCTGCCTAAAACTGTGAGTTTCACCTCGTTTTCTCTAAGCATCAGAGTGCTGGGAGTAAAGGATTTGGGACTTGGACATTGAAGGAGATAGTCAGCACCAAAAAGGGAGGGGAAAATTTAGTGAGCTGTAGACATTTTCAGAAAGAAAGTCTTACAGATGCTTATTTTATTGGGGATTCTCATTCCCAAGTTAGATAAATCACTTTGGACAGGTATAGAATGTGGCTTTGATAAATTACTTTAAGTCAAATCCCTTTAGAGATTTGACTTTAAGTAATCTCAACCATCAACCCAAGACCTAGTCATTTCAAGACAGTTCTGGTATAATAAAAGGGCAATCCAACCAAAGTGGGCCGCTAAGATCCCCTATAAAGGAGGCTGACCCCTAAAACTGCTTTATCTTTCAGCAGGAGTCTGGGATCTCCCCAGGGGACTGGGTCCCCAAAGCTAAGGCGGTACAGTATCCCATTTGCACTCCTTCACAGCCTCTGACAAGCTGTCCTCATTTCCCGAGCAAGCAGCCAATTTCACATGCACATCCTCCCTGTCCAGCTGGCTGCACATTTTGTACTCACCTGAATGAAGATATATTCATCCTGGACCACCAGGGAACTGGTGTCAATGGAGCGGGCAAAGGGCCCACTACGAGTTGTCTCAGCACATTCCTGGATCCTGCAGGTAAGGTAGTGAGCATCTGAAACAGGAGGGCAGAGTGACACTTAGACCCAAGGGTAGATGGCAGGCACAGCTCTCATGAGCACACAAAGCTCTACTGCATGAGGACCAGTGACATAATTTATAACAATGAGATTTCACTTTCTTGTCCAAAAAATTTGTAATAGTTACCCAAAGTAGTAATATCTAGTTTAGACAAGGGAGTGGGGGAAAGAGTTAATCTCATATACTACTGGTGAAAGAGTAAATTGGTAGAGCTTTTTGGAAGAACAAATTTGAAATATCAATCAGAATTTTAAATGCACATATTTTACACCAGCAATTCTAATTCGAGGAATTATTTTTAGAGAAAGACATATTTTCACAAAGAGGCAAGGGCAAAGATATTCATTGTGGCATCGTTCATAGCAATGACAAATTAGAATCAGGCTAAATATTTATGAATTAAGGAACATTTAAATAAACTAAGATACGTACATATGATAGAGTATTACACTGCAATTAAAAGAATTAGGTAAGTACATATGCATCAACATGGCGATTTCTCCAAAATGCCCTGTTCTGCAACCTTTAAAAATTATTTGGTATGTATAGTATGAACGAATTTATGTTTTAAAAAATGCTTGTCTTTATAAATATATAGGTTTGTGCCATAACTGTACAGAAAACATTTTAAGGGATACACATAAAAATTAGCTATAATTACTTTTTGTGAAAGAAATAGACTTAAGGAGGAAGACAGAACTGGAGCGGGGCCTTTGCTTTTTATGTTACATACACCTTTGTTATTTTCACAAGAATGCATTCAGTTTTACTTATACAAATTTTTTAAAACTTGTATGACGTTGTGTAAAATCCTCTAAAGATCTCAAAAGCTGCATCCTCTCCTCTTCTCAAGCAACCCAAATAATGGCAGCAGCTATAGCCAAATGGGAAATCCGTGACTCCAAAAGACATTCTGACAATGACTACAATGTCATCCAAAGAAAGACAGACCACTTTGGTTATTTATTCCTTAAGGAAAAACTACAGGTGAGATTCCAGGAAGAAACCACTGTATATATTTGCTTAAAAATTATTATTTATTTAACAGAACTTAAAAACTAATGGTCAAAATGAAAAGTAGGGATCACTTTAAGATTAAAAGTGGAGAAATCTTTATCATCTAAAACCACATGCATTATTACAAACATCTATCTAACGCAATTGTCACCTCGTATGTGTGCATATGTGTGCACAGGTGTCAGAGGTTACAGTGGAGGAGACGGTAGGCAGCAGAGATAAATAAAAGCAAAAGGTTTACAGAAGAAAAAGTTTATAACAATTGAGTTTAAAATAAGTGTTCTTTAAATTATCCCTATTTATATTTAGTTGATTGATTGATTCAACAAGTATTTCTTGTGCACATACTATGTATTAGGTATCATTTGGGTACTAGAATATAAGGATGAATGAGACAGATATTTTCTATTCTAAAAGGACCTGCTGTCTAGGAAGGGGCTTTCTTGTGTTATATGAAGCTAGCTATTACACATATGAATTAATAAATATGATCGAATTTAAGAAAGAAGCATATTTTCATGGGAAATGAATTATGTGCTATACATACCTATTTCTTCAATGTGCATATTTGAGCAAAGTCTATTTGCTTAGGTAAGCATAACCCAAATTGTCCAACATTGATTCCATTCTCTCTGCCAGCAGTCTCATCACCTGTGCAGTAGCTCAAGCCCCTAAACTTGTCTTTCTTCCGCATCCCATACAATCCGGTTGGTTCCTGAGCCTTGACAATCCTGCCTCTGAAGTACTTTCAGAGTCCCTCCTCTTCTCCCCATCACCCATGCCACTTGCCTGGGACATGTGCTTGTCATCTGTTTTATTGTATCCATTTTATATCTAGGGTTCATGTGCATGATGGATTGCAAACTGGACAGAGCCAAAGCTGGGAGCCAGAGTTGTCACCTCTCCCCCATCTCTCAAACCTGAGCATGAGCTGACACCTACCAGCATTAAAACCACTGACCATTCTGAGTGCCCCGGGACAAAGACCAAACATCTTTCTGTAAGTAGAAGGCCTTTTACAACTGTCCTAATAAACTCAAATGCCCCAGGAGCCAGGCAAATTATATATAAGAGTAAAATGAGCTGGGATAAGATGATAAATGGAGGCCACCACAGGTCTAAGTGTCGGGGATTTCTCAGGAACAACATGGGGTCCACGATAAATGGCAAACACTGCCTCTTTAAGGCGGCGATGTTTCTAAGCTCCAATTCTGCACTGACGTACAGGCATAAGACCTCCTGAGTTTCTAAGTCAAGGGAAATGTTCCTATTTTTTTAATGCAAAATTTCCTGATTTTTCAAAAATTGACAACTAATTTAAATTTAAGATATGGTGTAGATCAAACACTGTGAGGCCAAACAAAACAAGCCCATGGTCCTGGTGAGACCCAGCAGCCACTCATTTCTGATCTTTGCTCTCTAATTTGGCCCTGAACTACCTCTCCAGGGAAGAGAGAGACCTTCTTACCCCATTCCCTGACCCTAGAGCAAGACCAGCTGATCCAGCATTCTGCAAGGACTGCATGTCCCTTCTGCCTTGTCTTTGTTCACAGAGAAAGCCAAGAGTGGCCTGGCTTCCCTCTTCTGGCTGAGAGAAGAGGGGAAGGCAGCGAGCCCAGGCTGTGATTTGGAGCCTGCCCACAAGGAATATTCTTGGACCCACACAGCCTTAATAATTTTCTCCTAGAATAAAGCACCAAAACACAGCAAAAGGCTGCAGTAAATGCATGTAAAGAAACCACAAGTGTTGACATAACAACCTGCCTCCTTCTTGCCAGCCGGGGTCTCAGAAAGCTCCTCACACAGGTAACCAAAAGTACACACAGGGGGACACCTGCTTATCCCCACAGACTGGCTTATTTTCCTCTGATTATTCACTATTCAGTCTCTCATTTTGGACACTTTGAAAAAAGAATCAAGTGCAGTCAAGGCCACTCCAAACAATATCAAAACTCAACTAATGCTTGGCCTGTGGCAGGTGAGATCTTGTGCTAAACCTGTCCTGCTTCTTGGCTCTCTCCCTGCTTGCCACTGCCCAGCATGGAACGAAAGGCCCAATTTCATAGGAAGGCAATGCTAAAATGAGTTTTTGAAATCCACTTAAAATTTAGGGGTTTCATCGTCTTTATTTGGACTCACATATTGGCAGCCTCAACGCTTTTATTTCTCAAAACAGAGACAGGATAATAAGTGCTATGGTACCCACTGCCTGGTGGGAACCCCAAGTAGGAGATATGGGGAAAGTAAATCATAGGAGGACTTGGTGTCAAGGTGAGTAGGGGGCACCATTTGGCTCAAGCCTCACATTTGCAAAAGGTCTCATATTCAGACTTTGGACATTATCTCCAAATGAAGCCGGATATAGTCATAGAAACTATATGATGAAACTCAAAGAGGACATTTATCATATAACATGAAACCCCAAAACAGGCTTCTAATAAGTGTGACCTTTTTGTTTTTTAATAACACCAGATGCCAGATAAAATGGAAGTGGTCCACATCTCCTGAGCATATTGTGATGTTTGAAACCAAGGCCTCTGAAGGTAGAAAGTGTTGAGTTCAGATTCTGGATTGACTGTGCTGGTTGTCCTGGGCTAAGTAGCAGCACGGTTTTTTATCTGTGAGGTGCAGACAATTTAGTATGTGCCTCCGAGGATTGTTGTCAGGATTAAATAAGATTATGCAAAAAAGTGCTTAGCACATTGTTGGATACATTTTAAAGGGTCAATAAATGTTAGCTATTTTTTATTATGAAGAGGGAGGGAAGGAGATTTAACTCTCAGCATCCCTCATATGTTCAGTTTAATAATAGGTAATATCCTCTTTTATTGTGGTGAATCAAAAATACCATGATATCATAGGTCCTATAGTAAAGTCATATTCCAAATCTATAGCAGTGTTTACTTTCTTTAAGTGCTATGGGTGTTCCAACAAGAAAAAATATGTGTCTGAGCTGGAATAATCAAGGAGAACTTCAAAGAGGAGGCAGCCTTTGAGGTTAGCCTGGATGGGAAAGTGTGCGACATGAGAAGGAAATCCTTGATAGAGGGAATTTGAACTGCGAATGGACATTTATGTAGACAGAGATCATGAAACACACTACATAATTATGTGTTAAGGGACTGACATTAATTAATTCTTATTCTTGAACTTCTGTTTTTTATCCTCTCCTTTGAAACATCCTTAAATGAAAAACTAGAAAGACCAGACTATATAAAGATCTCATTCAGATATCCCTATGGGAAAACCAGAGCATGATTTACTAAATGGTTAATCCTCATGATTAATGTATTTCTAAATGTGCAATGTCTTCCTAATATATTTCTAAGAGCTGGTGCAGTCGCTGCTCTACTTACAAACACTAGAAGTCAAAGGCTTTGTTCCCCGCACCATGAATAGACGGATGTGCTCTTGGTAACTCTGGAAGTATCTGGCCCTATTTCAAACTAGTTCTAGTGCCAACAAGACCTTTAGGGAAGACTGTGACATGTCCCAAGTGGGGCTGGCCTCCATGCCTTCTCACCCTACAGACGTTAGACCAAGGATCTTGTCTGTTCTGAAAGGCAGCCTCAGACAAACCAATACATTCCTTTTGTATTGGATCAAGGTATATAGAGAAGCTGCAGTTGTCAGAAACTCCCTGATATTCTAGGAAGCAGAGAACATAAGGCAGGTTTTTGCCCTCAGAAGATTCCCAAGCCAATGACAAAGAGAAAGGATGTTCACAAGTGAATATTTCTGGTGATCCATGCTGGGTAGAGCATGCTCAGAGAACAAGGGAACGTGGGCAGAGAGACAGAGACAATCTAATGCCTTTAGCCTTCTTTTCTTCCTAAAGGGTTGCATTTCTGCCAGGAGTTTTGTAGGGCTTGGGGAGGCAGCCTTTAACTTTCTCCATTTGGCAAGGTAAGCTTCTCATCGACATTAGCAAATTTCACTGTAAGTCCAGTTTTGTCTGTGCCAAACCTTTCTAAAAGGGTCACCTCCTTTCTAGCAGGAATAAAGTCTTAGCCATCTTTTTCTCTCCACAAGCTAACTTTACAAAGCCTCAGAAATACTACTTACACTAATGTGAATGACATTAAAAGTCTATACATTTTTGTTATGCTGTTATATGGTGACTTGTGATTATGTTTTGCCTTTGAGATTAGTAAACATTCAAACTTCCTAGATATCATGTCTCTTGCCAACTCAAAGAAAAAAGCTTTTTGTGATTCACTCCACTTTCATCCCTTTGGGCAATATACTATACAATTGTCAAAAATTGAAAAAGCGAACTAAAATTGTGACCAGAACGCAAATTCAGATCTTCAGGTCTGCTCTTAGAGAAATACGCAGGAGCTGTTTATTTTAAATAACGACATTAACTCTCCAATGAAAATAAGTAAAAACAAGTAGATTAAAGGTAACTCTGAAAAGTTGTTCAGCTTCCATAAGCCTCCTTTTCCTTGGCTAACCTATTTGCAGACGTAGTGCAAAACAAAGGAAGTGATCTTGCTGCGAATGCCCAATACAACACTTGAGGCATAGTAGGCCCCAAAAACAAACAAAATCCACAAACAAGAAAAGGTAGCTTCCATTTCCTCTACTGGACTTATGAATTTAGAGTTTTTGTGAAACTTACAATCTCCCTTTGCAGAATCCAGCATTCTGTGCCTTCTTAATGGCAAAGGAGGCAATCTGGCAGAGTTGTAAGCGTTTAGAAATTATAGAGACCTTGAATGTCTCAGAAGTCCTGACACTCCACTCAGGGCTCTTTCCGCTCCACCTGCCAAATAAACTGACCCTGAATATGACGACTGACTATACAATGGTAATGATGATGACAGCAACAATGAGGAAAATAATGATGACAATAGTGACATTTTTGAATGCTCACTCTGTGTTGTCTGATGTTCTAGGAACTATACACATTAACTGATTCAATTCTTTCTACACCCAATAAGGAGTTACAATTATTACCCATGTTATTCATCTTACAGGTTATTCATCTTACATGAGGAAACTGAGGCACAGAATGATTAAGTAATTTGCTGAGTTCCACAGTGCTAGGAAGTGGCAGAGCTGGGATTGATCCCAGCTGATTTGACACCCATACTGTGACCCTAACCATTATGTCTAAAACATGGAAGGAAAATCAGGCTGAGAATTAGACCAAAACCCACATTCTGGTTCAGTCCCTGTCACTGGCCGTCTGTGTGATTTTGGGAAAGTTATTATACATTTTAGTGACTTTTGCAATGTGATACAATTTGAAAATCTTACACGTCCTGACATTAAAAAGAAAATCTGGAATCCTTTTATCAAAGACAATCCCATGTTTGCAACACATAAAGTGAGTTTTAGTGTATCTGCTCCAGCTGAACAGAAGGCAAGTGACCTGCGGTCCCATTGACTTAGCTCCCTCTTTGTCCTCATTCTGGTCTCTGAGCTCTTAGAGAGTCTCTAGAGCTCTGAGTTACATATTTTGAAAATCATTGAACTAGTCAATAATCCAAGTTCCTCCAAGAACAAATAATCTGTGTATCTAGAGCCTAGAGCTTAGCTGCAGGGCTGTTTCACCTTG